ATATATCCTATATTTTCCTAAGCAGAAATACTTTGAAGACAATTTTTATAAAACATTACAAAATAAATCCAAAGTAATCATCTCCATGACATATTAAGATCTCTCATTAAACACAAGTCTAACATGCATGCTGGTTTTAAACATCAGGGACCTGATAATTATCTCTCACTATAACAGTTCAATCCTATATTAATTTTGATAGAATTAAAGCCACTGGAGCAAGCCTGTTAAAGTTATTAAACAATTGCAAACTTTTTAATACCACCAATTCTCCAACACTTGATGCCCACCTAAGAATGCATGGAACTGCAAGAGAGAATCTTAAAATGCTTTTCATAATGTTTTAAGTGAGCTCTACTACTTTTCTCATACTTTCATCCATCCCAATAATTGTGTAGCAAAAAGTCCTAGGAAATTTTATCATTTTATTACATTTCTCCCAATTGTAACAATATTTTTATACCATGGATCCTAACTTTAAAGATATTAAAGTAAACTAATCATGTTAAAGTATGTTGTGTTCATTTATGTTTACAGTATCTTACATTTTACCTAAGTTAGGTAGTATAGTTATGTTAATTAAACACATATAGGTTTTGTTTACAGTAAAGACTACTGTTATATTCAATGATGAAAGATTATCAAGCACAGTAATTAATTAATACGCACAGTAGTTCACAATATTATTTTTTGTAAAATAAATAGTAATGCGTTTTTTCTAATTCCTAATAAAATGTTCAATTTATTTTTTATCTATATTGCATAATTTCGTCTGTTTATATATTAAAAATATCAGTACTATTGTTCATTTGCTTTCAAACTGATTGAAGCATCTTACTTTAGTTTGTGTGTCAGACCGAAAGTCATCTGGAAAGGTGTTATAGCTTGTCACCCATTCATCTAGCAACTCTTGTCTTCTGTCTGGTTGCTTACAGAGTTCCTCAAAAGTTTTTTGAATCCTGAATATGTATTTAACCATTTTTTCATGTTCATTTCGTAGGCCACGAAATACCACTGTCAGCGACTTTAAATATATTTCCTCTAAGATCTTCCACGATTTGAATAAAAGCATAAGCACTTTTTCAGTAAGTGGCATGTTTATGAAACCATCAATCTGAAAATTACTGAGTGTTTCCTTCACATCATTGGGTTTTTCAGGATAATTTTGGCTATTTAAATTGTCACTTCTTTCAACTAGTGTTGTTTTCTTTTCGTGCAAATTAATTCCTTGACTCCCTCCTTCTTGTTCTGATTCATAAATTTCATTATTTCCTGCAGAATCTGGATGATCTTCTTTTCGTTCTTGCTGTGCAATTTCTTCTTTCAAGGAAACTTTTAATTCTTTGCACAAATTATCATTTGATGTTACCAAATTTTCTACCTAAAAACAATTTTGAAGGTAAAATAATTAAATTATATAGGAACCATTCTATAATTCTTATTAAAAATACTATGACTGCTCTTATCTTAATATATATATATTGTGATTAGATATCTGGTACAGGAGTTTTGATTAACCTGATTAATCATTATATAATCAATAACCTATAAGTATTAATCACTGTTATGTAACATAATTGATTAACCATAATCACAATTAGATTTATTATTGTTATGAAATATGAATATAATACTGGTTATGATTATTACTGTTTTTGATTATTCCAATTAGCCAAGTAATTGAAGTATTGCATTTTGATTTTTCATTATTATTTTAAATTAATTAAAGCTTTTTAAGTTTAACTGATTAGTGTCATGATTAATGAAAATAATCAACTAATCTAAGTTACTGTTTTTTTATTATTCCAACTATTTAAGTTCATGTGTAAATAACTGATTAGTTGAATACGATTGGTTAATGAGCTGACAATTATTCAATCAGTAAATTCCACTTATTGCTGAGTTCCAGTCTGGTGCTTTTTATTATCAACAAGAATTATTGATAAACTATGATGGCATAAATGATGCTCTTCTTATGGAAGAAGAATAAATATATTTCAAGCAATAACAATGATATATTAAGAACTTTGAATATTCTAAACACAAGTACTTCTAACAAGTAATTACCTAGCAAATTAACATGTATTACAAACTTAGATAGGTTCCAAATATTCACATATGACCAACTGCACTAACACATAAAAAATAATTTGAAAAAAAAGCTCATTCTGATTTATATTTGAACTATAATCTCAAAAAATCTGTTTAAAGAGATCCCATCTTTTTCTTATTTTTTCTATTTATTTTTGCATTTTTGATTATTTATAGCAGTGTTTATATGAATAATTCATTTCTGATTATTTTTTTTTCTACGTAGTATTTATTTTTACTTATTTATGACTTATTGACAAGCTTCTGAAATCTTTTTTAAAATTCACAAACTGCTTAGTAATTTATGTGTTCTTCCATCTGTATTTTTCAACCATTGGAAATATGTCATAAGCAAAAGTGCTACCTTGTAAGGAAATAATATTAAAGTGTTTTTCATAAATAGAAATACATTATATCATCTACAATAAAGACGTTTTTACCCAAAATGTTACATAAAATTTACAGCTAATTCATCAGTTCATGGTAATTCACTTGGAATTATAAAAAAATTTCACTAAAATACTTAAAAGTGCTATAGTAAAAGGAACATAAATTGATAACATCCTACATTAAATAACAGTAAGCCTTAAATCCAGAAGAACAAAGCTGAAAAAAAAAGGGTATTGTTCATTTGAGGTATCATGGGATAGCATTTAATTTGGGAAGTTAGTATCCATTACCTAACAATGTGTCAAGTACTAGAGAATGGAGTCATTGAATAAGTTCTTAAGTAATTGTTTATTCACTTCAGTAGGCTTGCACCTAACTTGAAGGTGGTATATAATATGAATAAGCCTGTATGTAGCTGTCAGAGAAAAATATAGAATCTAAACAGGACCACACAAAATGGCAAATTCCATACCTAAAAGTGACAGGTTTCAATATTTAAGGGTTTAATGATTTTTAGAGCAATAGTGTCTTAAGTTAATTATACAATTCTCACCTTATTATTAGATATAAGCTTTTGATTGGAGACCTCTGCAGATTGCATTCACCTTAAAAGCTTTAGATGACATTTCTAAGTGCTGGTACAATTAAATATAAGCACTTGATTGGAGAATTCTGTAGATTGTGTCTGCCTTAAAGGCTTTGGATGACATTCTGAACTGTTAGCACAGATCTTCAATAGGCCAAATTGGCTAAATGTGTAGATGAAATATTGTAGTTATACTGCTGTAATTGAGAGCTGGATGAGTGGAATTTTGGCCATCAATGGAAACAGACTAAGGATATTAACAAGTACTGCATTACAAAATCACACACACAAAAAATCTCCTCAAAATCATAATTGATGAAAAATTAACACCCATGTGATCATAAACCTTAAACATGATCCAGCCAACGAAGGTAGCAAGACAAACGATGCTACTATAAAAATTTCCAAGCCATCATCCAGGGCAAAGTGTACAATTTCCAGGAAAAAGACCCAAATGATAAACTTGAACATGCAATCAACAGATCAAACACCAAATTTAAATCCAAAGAAAACCAATTAAAATATAATCTCCAACAGCTGTAAAACACTATATTATGGACTACACAAGTCACACAGACTAGAACTTCCTCTCAGACCAATCACTAGTGTCATGGGTTGTTCCTTTAACCAACTAGCTAAACCCCTCACAATAAAAAAAGTTGCATAAAAAACTCTACCATTACAGCCTAAAAATAAATTATTTGAACCTACAACTAGAAAACAGATTTATTAGTTGATAAAGTACAAACATATTTCTCTGCATTTCTTTCAATATAACTCTAGCTATTGTTTGATGCCACCCTGAAACTATGAAAATCATCCTAAATGTTAATATCATCATGGAACTACTGACACACTGCACCATATTCCAACAATACTTATTTTCATTTCCAAGATGCCTACCTCAAACAAACACCTTGTCTACCCATAGGCTCTTCTCTCTCTCTCCCAGATCCTTAGTCATGACCTATACTTGGAAAATCCAAGCCTATGGAGAAGAAACATCAATGACGCCTTTGTTATTTGGCCTCTTAGATACATTAGAGAATTTCCTTCAACACATCAACTTTCTTGACCATGCAGACCAAAGAAAATTGTTCCTTACTTTTCTACACATCCTCGTTTATTGTCATAAACATAACCTTCATACATTGATCTACAGGAAACTCACCCATACCAATAACAAATATCTACATTTCAAAATCTAACCACTCACACGCTGTTAAAAGAAGCACCATAAACTGTTCTCACCCAGTCCAACAAACAACTTAAAAAAAAAACCTCTAAAAAGTATTTCTACATCCGCTTGATCCTCAGACAAAACCCCTAACCACCATCATTGTTCCATTCATTCCAAATCTAAGTGTAGTTCAAATCTGATAAAACCTTAAGAAACATGCTTATCAAAATCAAGAACATGAAAAGTGAAGTAAAACAGAGAAACATTAACTACAATATTCTGAACTCATTTGGTAAAATCTATATCTGAAAGACTGGCAGGCCAATAAAACAAAGATCAGAGAAACATCGAGATGCTACCAGACTTCCCTATCCAGAAAAACTGACCCTAACAGAACACAACTAAAATGCTGGACATATTATCAAGAAATACTTCATTCCACACAACATTATAAAACCAGGAACTTAAAGAAGCCTTTTACACCAAAATCCATCAACCATCCCTGAGCTGTGATCAAGGCATGGATTTAAATCCAATATGGACTCCTTTCCTCTACAATGAAAAAAATAAGCATCAAACCATGTATCCGTCAGTTTAAACTCCAGTTAAGTTCTGACATCTCTTACCTAAGACTTTGAGCTCTCTACTTCAGCCCCATTCTTCAACATTTAAATACTTCCTTGCATCAGCTCTATGCTTTTTGCAGATTTCCAGATTACACTCACCTTGTTCTATATCATGGCCATCTTTAAACAACTTAGCTAATTTCAATAATTCTGATTTCAAATTTTCTGTTTTAAAATTATATCTCACATACATATCTAGAATGATTATAAAAAAAAATCTTATAATTAATTTGTTCTCAAAGTCATTCTTTTAAACTGTGTTATACAAAATGTCCTGATAAAAATACATAAATGTTTTAAATTCTGAGGTTAGTTATTTTTAATACAGTATCAAGGTGTCAAAGTAATGAAACCTAAAAGTTGCTGCACCCAACTACTAATTTCATATGTTGCTGTAAATTTAGAAACTGGTAATTAAAGATTTTTGGGAAATTGTATCATTTTGATGGATTTATTATATACATACCTCAGAAACATGTGATAGCAAAAGTCTTTCTATTTCATCTAGTACACAATCTGGGTCTTGCTCTCCATTGATAACATGAAAAATTCCAAAATTAGAGAACCATTCTTCCAGAGCATGTTGGTCCTGGGAAAACGACAACAGCTGATGATGCCATTGGCCAGTGTCTTTAAGAACAGACATGAAGGAGGAACTATATTCCTTGCTGTTTAAATTATCTGTGTGGTCTTTATGTCTATCATTCTGGAAATTTTCCACTAGAGACAGAAACATGACTTCATTTTCTTACATATTTGGAGTGTATAAATGCACAATAAATTATATTTTTGAAATAAGAGATAACTTGAAAATGATTAACTACAGAAAACTATCACTCCATTATTAAGGTAAATAAAGTATTAGAATGTTTTTCTAGACAATTCAGTATTATGGCTAAATTATACATGATTCTCACACCTTAGGCAGAATAAAATTACCCGACTTTTCCTAGACGTTTCCATGATCAAAATATGTTATTCCCTGACCATTTAATCTATGCTTGTAATGTATCACTGAACCAAAATAATATGTGAACTTGTAAAACATTATTCCTACATTATTTAACAAAAGCAAGACAAGCTGTATGTTAAAAGTCACAGTTTGTTTAAATGCTATCTTGCAAAGTTTCAGTATGATCAACTGAAACTTTATCAGAACACACACAACAAAGGCAGTTTAGCCATTTGTTTATTACTATATATACCAATCAATCAATCACACTTTTTAATTTTAATTTAAATCACAAAAAAACGTTAGTACAGTGTGCATTTTTTAGCATAAAACTACACAATGAACTATCTGCACTCTGTCCACCATGGAGAATTAAACTCTGGATTTTAGCATTTAAAGTCCATTAACTTACCGCTGAACCACTGAAAACAACATAACACTACAGGTTTTAAAATTTGTGATTATTAAGTTTCAATGCTTCTCATATGTCAAATATCTATTAAAACAATATTTTTTGATGTGCTTACAAGCATAAAAATATATGAAACTTTCAGTTCCTAACCACTGCAATATACTCATATTTCTGATATTAATAAAAGAACTGCACATGTTAGTGAAATCATCCACTGATCCAGATCAAACTGTATTATTTTTGCACGTGCTTTGAAACTGTTTGTATCAAAAAGTTCACTGACATCAAAATATTGAAATCTATGAATTAATGTGACTAGATATCTATTAAGCAATAGTGTTACTGAAAATATTTTCAGATTTATGCAAGTTTTCTTCGTTCACAAGATCACTAGATTATACTTATAAATAACTATGTTGTAAATTCTAATTATACATACAGAATACTTCATATACGTAATCAGACCTACAGATAAAACATCTAGAAAGTTTATAGTTGCATTATAATCCTACATCATCATAATGTATAATCGTACTTGTAGAGGCATATGTAAATCAGGGTATAGGTGTGGATTTGGTGTATTTGGATTTTCAGAAAGCATTTGACAAGAGATACACAAAAAAACTTATTAAAAAATTATTTCTGTAGGAGTGTGGGATAGGCTGCACATTAGATAGAAAACTGGCTAGGGAGAAGAAAACAGAGGGTTGTTATAAATGGAGTTCAGTCAAACTAGATGAATGCCACAAGTGTGGTACCTGATGGCTCAGTGTTAGGATCTTTTTTGATTTACTTCATGACACAGATGATGGAATGGTCAATAAAGTATTTAAATTTGCTAATGATATTAAAGTTTTGGATGTTGCTGGTTGTAAGAAAGATGTTTCTGCTTTACAAAAAATATTTGGATTATTCAGTGAGTTGAGTGAATAAATGGCAGATAGCCTTTAATTAAAATAAATTCAAAGTAAAGCATGTGGGATATCACAATTTGAATTATGAGTAGATAGAAATAACCTTATCTGTGTTAGGGAAGAAAGAGATTTTGGTGTCCTGGTTGACCTGTCTCTTAAACCATTCAAGTAATGTACTGTTGCTAGTGTTAGGGCAAATACAATTTTAGATTGTCTCCACAGGAATATTGAATACAAGTCTAAAGAGGTTATAATGACATTGCATAGGTCATTGGATAGGCTACATTTGGAGTGTTGTATTCAGTCTTGTACTTCTTACCTTAGAAAGGATACTGAACTGTTGGAAAGAGTTCAGATGAGGGTTATTAGGATGATCCCTTGGATGAAAAGGTTGTCGTATAAGGATAGGTGGTTAAGATCTCTGAAATATATTTCTCTTGAAAATATAAGATATAGAGGAAATCTAATTAAGTTATTTAAGATTTTTAAGGATATTGATAGTGTTAAGGAATCATACTTTTTAATATTTGATAGTAAGAATGGTATGGCTAGGAGACAAAAATATAAATTTTAGCAGTGTAGGAGTCATCTTCAACTAAGACAGCTTTACTTTTATAAACAGGATGGTTGGCCTTTGAACTGGGTTGCCTTCAGATGTGGTAGATGCAGTTAATGTTAACACTTTCCTTATCTGAAAATGTATTTCTGATAGATATGTCTGCATACAGCTTAGCTATCTACCCTGCTTTAGAGACTTGCATGCCTTTAGATGTTACGTGAATTGCACTACTGCATAATAATGTTACTGTGCAACAAAAACTCTCCATAAGTAGGAGAGCAACACACCTCTATGCACAATAACTCCCCCTATGCACTACTGATCTTCATTTTTTGACGTGGCAAGAAAAACAAAGGTGCACTGTAAATGGGTAGGATGTACCCCATTTTATAACAAGCATAATATCTCTTCTCTCATTTGTCTGTTAACCTCTTGTCACCTTAGGTAGAATCCTGCTTCTGGTCAGCCACCCCTGGTTTTGACTCTCTAACTGATTGTTCCTTGACTTGCCAGTTATACTCCCTCCATGGACTTCCATATACTGTTCTGCCAGCTTGATCATCTCATCCATGTCTTTCAGTGCTCTCTCCTTCAGGAACAGTGACATTTCATAGAGCACGTGATCATGAACTGTTCAGGTATTAATGGATCTGCCAATCCTTCAAAACTATTTTCACACTTGACCATGTCAGTCCATCTTGTGAAGTATCGCTGTAGATGTGCCACAAACTGAAATACAGTTTCTACAGTGTCAGGTTTGACTTCTATGAACTTCCAACGAAAACTTTGGTAAGTTCATAGCGTTTCAGCAAGGCCACTTTTAATTTGTCATAGTCCATGGCATCTTCTGACGTCATGCCTGCATATACTTGTAGGCCTTTTTCTGTGAGGAGGGGGCTGAAACAGACTGCCCAATCATCTTTGTCCCAGTTCTGACTTTGGGTAAATCTTTCATATCTATCCAGGAAAGCATCCACGTCACCTTTCAGTTCATCAGATTTGTCATTGTCATTCTTGGGTCCTTCCTCTTTCTGTTCTCTCTATTTCTAGTCTCTCCTTTATTTATTTCTCTATTTGTGCTCTTATTCCCTCTCTCTCTATTTCCAATCTCTCCTTTTTGGGCTTATATTTCACATTTTTCTTTCAGTCTTTCTCTTTCTTCCTCTATTCTTTGCCTCTCTTCTTCTCTCCTCTGTTGATGCTCTTCTCTTTGTTGGTCTTGTTCTTGTTTAACAAACTCTCATAGAGCACCATCTTTGAGCCCAAGTTCCTCATTTATCAAAATCAGTTGACATGGTTATACAGAGTGGTTGTGACCTCTACTATATTTTCACCACCACTATAGCTGAGCATATATATAAACCTATTTCTGCTGTCGCTCACATCTTCTTTTACCACTGTATGCCACTGTATAATCCTAGTTGACTTATCAAAATGTGAGGTTTTTAAGTATATGTATGGATGTATACGTGGGCAAGATTCTTTACAGTAGGTGTCTGTGACTTGTTGGTGATAAACTTCAATGATAAACAAACAGCACACAGTTGACTTGTTTTAAAATATTATATTAATTAAAACTAGTCAAAGGTATATACAAATGTTCATTACACAGCTAATCACCACAGCTGAATTCAGAACATTAAATAATTCTCTTTTTTGTCAAAAGTGTGATGATGACCATATAAAGTCAAAGTTTAACTAATGGTTTTCGATATATTATGTACAGAAAACTTTTTTCCCATTCCTCCAGCACTTAAGAAGTTATCATACTGTACCCTTCATTTAGCACAATTTTGGTACTCATGTTGTGCCTCATAATTTAAAACTGAAATAAACCATTTAATATAACATATTTTTTGCAACTGAAATATTCAACTTGATATAATGTAATTTACACAATATTTATAAAAACAAATGTGGATGTCAAAATTACTCAGAACAGTTTAGTTTTAAAAATGCCAAAACCATCAAATGTAGAATTGTGGACTTACTTGAAACATTTCCTAAGTGTTTAAAACTATATATGAAACACCAACAAAATACTGTTAAAGGATCTATAATAAATTATTTCTTCAAATGCCCAGCAAAAAGAATGAATGATTTGGTACTTCTGTTAATACTAAGTGATGTGACACATAATGTGTTGTAATTTTATTAGTTACACATGTATAAAAGATTGCTAAATCTAAATGGGAAAGCTTGAATACATGACTTTAAAAAACAAAATTCAAGAAAATGCCAATGAAACAACAGGTTTTCATTTGCAATTTTTTCATTTAGGAGCTGTTATATCGAGTAAATTAGTTGATTTATAAAACATAAATATGAATTTATTTTATTTCATATGAATGGCACCTTATATGAGATGTAACCCTGTTATATATATATAGTTATGTATCTGAGCAATGATGAAATGAGTACTCAGTGCAGTAATCAAGCTTGCATATATCTAAGATGGCCTAGTTTTTGATTTTTGAAAGAATATAAGGAAACCAAAAAGTTAAATACTACAGGTTTCTGTTATATTTAAATACATAGCTTATGACATTTTGATTTAAATAACAGATTAAGGTGTGGTTGATCTTTGCTACTCAAGTACGGAACTGGGAATACAAACTGCAAAGGCCTTTTGAGTGACTACCAAGATATTTCTACACATGATCTGTATTATATATGAAATATAAAAAGAAAACTTTACAAATAATTATGGGACAACAGATGAATGAGCCATGTAAACTCCAAAAACTGTGTGTTATAAATTTTAAAGGCAGTCCAGAAAATAATTCAAGTTGTCCCTAACACAGAAAGGTTGAAGGTTAGATATTGAAGGACAATTTTAAATATTGGGAATAGTTTTACTTTTATGTATAACATTAACAGCAGTTAACATAAACTGCAATGTTACCTGTACTAAAACAAAATGAGGTCTTCTTCTCAGCAATCCTATTAAGAAGTGTTTCATCCTCTACATGTAAATAAATAACAACATCCAGTCCACAGGTTGTTGGTATCAATACGTTGGGTGGTAAAGGATCAGGCACCAAGACACTAAGAGGCTCATTGTGAGACTTGTAATCCATTAAAGTCCAGCATTGTCCAGTGAGTTCTTTAAAAAGAAGATGTGCTTGTCTAATGGAATATGGAAACCCATCAATCACCCATTTGGTGCCTTCAGGTAGCTGCCTAAAAAAAAAAGTCAAATTTAACTTTTTAGGTGAAATACTGAAAAACTAAAGAATAGACTTTCCATCACACATATACACATCTCAAGCAGCATTTTGTAACTAAAAGTTTTATTTATCTTAATGACTTAAAAGAGAAAAGAAATTCATTAATAGTTCTCTCTCTCCCTCCCTAAAAAAAATTCTCATTGAATTAGCTTTAAAATAAAAAATGAGTACTGGTTAAAGAAGACTAGAATTGGCTTGATTCTCTAGGGAGTAATATGTTTGATTCACCTGATACTGGATACTAAAATGTTGATTATACTCTCGTCATCAATAGAATTACCATATTTTAAAGTTTTGACAATGTTTTCATTGGCTTCACATGGCAGTTTGGCCTAAAAAATATCAATGAACAATCTGAGCAAATAAAAAATAAAAGCTTCAAACATGATCAAATTCACTTCAAGTACATGAAGACATTTTCAAAATTTAAATATTTTCTTTTCCTTTATAGAATAATTGTTTTTTTTTAAACAACAGTTGTGTTACTTTAAAATAAAAATATTTTACAAGTGATTTATTTTAATATAATTTTTTTTTTCAAGATCTGTATATCTACAAAATGTGTAATTATTCAAATGTAAAGGATTTCAAAAACATTTATAAGCACACATTCAGATTTTACAATCTTGCACTTAGGAATAATAATCAGCTTACACTAAAATGATAACAAAAAGTATGAGACCAAACTTACTATGTAACTTGAAGGTGCGTTTTCTTGCTCTGATTTCAAGAGAGAAATAGAAGTAAAAAATTAAAAAGATGAAAAAATTTCCTAATGTTTACATTCTGTATAAACCATTTTGTAGCTTTACATTTTCTGTGTTTATATGTGATTTTTTTTCTGTAATATTTGTGAAACAAGTGTGCCGATTGTGGTGGTTATGAGTAAAATAAAATAACAATCAATTATTCATTTAACCAGCAAAATACACTGTTATCTAATTTTTACACATAATTTAAAAGATATGTCCAAATAAAGGAAACTTGCAACAGGAAACAGTTTATGCAATTCTTAAAAAAACCCGTAAGTCTTTACTTTTTTTGGTATTAAATCAATGTCACTAATACACATTTTCTTTCAGTCTACAAAGTTCTTCCCTGAATGAAAATCAGAGTTTACATATTATATTTTATAGTTAATATAAATATTCTATATTACTTTGTGAAAAACCAAAGTATATCTGATTGACAAACCAAAATAAGCATTCTTTATATGCATTATCTTGCAATACCAATTTAGTTTTTAGTTTGTTTTGTTTATGGCAAAGCTACTAAGGCTGCTTACCACTGTCTCTAATTTTAAACTGCCAACAATAGGGAATGTAACCAGCCAGCAGTACCCACTGCCAATGCTAGGCCTACTCTTTTACATATGAATAGTGGAACTGAACCTGACTCTAATGCCCCAACAACTGAAAGGACAAGCACGTTCTGCACCAGGTTTTGATCCGGCAACCTGCAGATTGCAAGTCAAATATCTAACCTATTAGTGTTTTTAACTATTTCACTTTTACAAAATTCAGTAACACAAATATTTATAATTTCAACATTATTAATAATAATCTCATAGTTTTGTAGCAGTTAAATTGTTTTCTGTTTTTTGTGTTATTTTTTTTTCACTGTGTGAACTGTGTTCTATCAAAGTGCAGGAACCAAAAATATCACTTTTACTCTATTAAATAATCTGAAAAGTTTAACATATCTTTCATTATAACAGTTTAAAAAGGAACTATTATACCTTGTGAATAGGAATCTTTATCTGAGATCTGTTCATCTGCTGTCTCACAAGCTACCAATGCAGCTTCTGCTACAAGTTTTTCAACATTCAGTATAACAAAGTTATGAGCTGCAAAAGTAAATAACTAGTTTAAATCCAGTTTTCTAAATTAGACTCAATGTACAGTATCTGAGTTTTAAGGTAACTTATTATCATAACAATATATATTGTAATAAGAACAATAATATGATAAGCTTATGAAACGTGGTGCCAATTTGTTGAATGGCACCACAAACAAAAATCCATAAAACAGTTTCACATTTTGGGTATTCAAGATTCAGACAATTACAAAAATAACTATGCAACAATTATTTCTTTATAATAGAACATAATTTTAAATAAAAATACTCTCCTTGCAACAAGATCACAACTTTCACTAGGGCTGTACATGAGGGTTTGATTATATCTTTACTGATGTAATTTTTAAATGTGGTACTAAAAACTGGAGTTCTTAAGAAAAAAATTATTTTTTCACAAAGGGTAACACTTTTAATATATATAAAACAATACAGTTTATATCAGTCCACATATGAAAATTTTGAGCTCTGTAGATTGAATTATTTTGATGCAATGAATTGCATATGACTAAAGAGCACAATCTGAACAATGTTTCCATGCAGTATTACCCAGAAAAAAATACTTTAGAAAATTTTTACTTTTTAAATATTTTTTACAATGAGGTATGAATACAACAATTAGTAATTACTAGCACAAACAGTAGCATGTCGGGCAGCATTTCTGCTATTACATGAAACATTACTAACACTGTACAGTTAATATATATAGACTTTTTTTTCCAAACCAAAGTTAGTAAATGTTAATCAGTATTGTTATATTACTTATGTTATGCCAATATATTCATTGATCAAGTTTGCTATTAAAACATCATGCATCTCAGGGCTGATATACATTTTGATTCTATATTGTTATATGTATATTTACAGAACTTCTTGCTATAACATACAGATTCTGAGCTTGCCACTAGACTTTAAGAACTGTGACTTATTGACCATCACTCTAGGAATATATGTAGGAGTGTACTGACACAATGGTAACAGCTTTTGTAGTTGTTTTGTTTTGTTGTTTCATTTTGTACTTAAATCAAAAGTAATTAAATAGCAAACTATGTATGTGTCCAACAAGCTTTTTCAATTTGCATAAACTGAGATTACTACCTTATCTTTAACTTCTGCATCTTAGTTAAGGAACTGTATTAGATACCAAAAGTATTGCCCAAAACACATTTTTAATCAAATCTAGCAGCTTTACTTACAAGATTACTTTTTACACTTTGACCAATTCAAATTTATTCTATTATATGCACCGTAAACATAACTTCATTTGAAGGATATAGTGTTTTTTACATGCAAGAATATAGAATGATATTATAAAAGTAACTGCACCAAGTTAAGTCGAAGTCTTTTGAATCAAATGTTGTTCTAATATGTGCTGATTGCTGATTAATCTTGACAACTAATGTTTGTCATCCACAAGTTATAATAGCTGCAACATTTAATTACATATTACTAAACTTACCCAACTTTACCAAGTTCTGATTAGCTCCATTGGCTACCTACCTTAACTACTCAATGACTACATGTGCATAATTACATGTAGATCAAATGAAAGAAAGCACAGTAACTACTTGTTAATTGAGTTTTTGTAAGTACTTTTATTTTAATGACTATAGCATTAAATCCACTTTTCCTTTCAGTCTCAAGAGATTCTACTCATTATAGAATCTATTATAATAATACTCTGTTTTTGCCTGTCCTGAAAATGCACACACACACATATTACTGTCTAAATGCACATGTCACATACTTTGTTTCAACAGATGTAAACAAAAGATGTAAATAAACTTTTGTAGATAATTTGTACAACAACATATTAAAAGCTTATCAAAGATTTAAAAAGGTCTAACATTAGGTTGTAGAATACCATTATAAATCTATTTACTGACAGTATTAAGTACCGTAAAGTTCAGTCCTGACAAAACCAAAAACAGA